GATAGATAGATAGATAGATAGATAGATAGATAGACAGATTTTTTTTTCACGAATTGGCTGTCATCGTACACCCATTGAATATGTGGATGTTTTTCACCTGTTGGCCTTTGAAGAAAATCAGAGTTTGTTCTTATTCTAACCAAACCTCATAAAGTGGGTTGAAAAGAAATGCAACATTGCTTTGGGGACCTTTTAATAACGACCCAGCACTCCCTGCAAATCCAATTACTATTTGCAAAGCCACTGGAGGTGCTCAGAGAGACAGCATGTTGGCAGAGTTGGTAAACAAAACTGACAACTCATTTTTATGCTCCCTAGGATCCAGGAACACCTGACAGCAAATGTGTATTTGTGTCTGTTGTCAAGCGCCACAGGGGTTGTGCTTGACATAGAAGAGAGACAACACTGAAGCCTTTCAGCTAAACAATGGAAATGACACCTTTACTCTTGTGACCTTATTGTTTCATGTCAATGACTGAATTAAATTGTCACTGTTTACATTTTATTCCCATGTTTAAAGTCAAAGTGTGTCATTTCCTGCAGCTCAAACAGTAGAGTATAGCAACACCAAGGTCATGGGTTCTATTTCCTAGGAACCGATAAAATTAAGAACTTGAATACAATGTTTTAGTTGCTTTGGATAGAAGCGTTTGTTAAATACGTAAATGTAAATTTAAGCCATAATCTCTGCACCACTAGTGTTACCAAACAAAATTGGAAAATTAACTATATTTTCTGAAATACTAATGGCTCTTTCCTGTGCAAACGTTGCTGTCATGATCCTAGGATGTTTTATATAGTTGTCAGCATGTTACCATGTGGTTTTTAGGATGTTCTGGTTGCAAGGGCAATGTTAGGTGGTTCCTTACTTGCCCAAAACAAAAGAGCCCAAGTCTGTATTGCAGTTGGTTTCTAAAGGAGTCTCAAGCCATATATAATGTGATTTTATTGGATTCATTTTAAAGTAAAAATGAGCACACCTTTCTTCAATAAGTCAGGCAGTTTGAGGTATCATTAAGGTCCATAGCGCAAATTGCTTGGCAAAGATTATTGTTTACATATAGGGGTTTGTTTAAATCTCTCCACTTCTGTCACTGGTCAGAAAAACAGATAGTCCAGCACCCAAACTCATGACATTGGGTGAACCAGTGCTGGACTTGTCTTTGATAGGACCACAGGACCACTCTGTTTCAACCCATCAGAGAAATCAGCCTACAAATAATTTAGGGTGTTTTGTGTGTGGTTCAGCTTGTATATCTGAACAAATAAAGTGATATCAGACCCCCCTAAGAGGACCCAAAAGAGAACCATACTCAGACCACCTCCGGAGGTGCAATGATGTCTCTGTACGCTTTTCGTTTAAAAAAAAAACAATTTATATATATGTTTTTTTTATGGACCAACATAACACGGTATATTATTGACGGATGTAATTTTCATATGTGTCAGTCTCTTGTTACATTAAAAAATATATAGATAAAAAATACAATTAAATAAATGAACCAACTCTTAATTCTAACAATATAAAACAATTCTGTTGTCATTTATGTAATCTACGGCTAGCATTAAATGGTTTTAATGCAAGATGTGGAGGCAAAGAACCATCTGATGCGCAGCGGAGATCAGACGCTTTAAATCAGACACAAAGATAAAGTAGTGCGGTAAGATCATATTTATTTGAATACATGAATTCTAGCCTTGCTTTGAAATAATTATCGAGAGAGAGAGAGAGAGAGAGAGAGAGAGAGAGATGTATGTTGTGTGTATGAATTACCTGCATATGTGCGTCTCTCTCTGCAAACCATAAAGCTGTGAGTTTAGTTTCTTCAAAAACAGCAATTACCTCCTCGTCGCTGAAAGATATAATGTAGCGATTCAGTATTAAAGCTATTATTTTAAAAGTTGCAGGCAGCGCTGACAGCAAGTTTCTGTGCTCCTGTATGTTTCTGTGTGTGTGCAGTGCGATCTGCGATTTCTCTTGCTCGCTCTCTGTGTGTGTGT